ATCTGTGACCGAGGTTTTACAGGTAGGTTTTCCAGTGAACTTTTCTCAACTTGTTCCGAAGGCAGTGGACACGATGGTGGGGGCGGGCGGTTTTCGCCCACGTCATTGGTGGAAGGGCTGAGTGGTGGATTTCCAAACGCACTTTCGCAGCCCTTCCACCAGTCACGCTGACAACAACCGCCCGCCCCCAGCAATCGCGCCCACTGCCATTAATATTCATATGTTCAGAATGTCATTCGCATTTATTTTTAGGTGATTATTGTGAAATGCGTGTATGTACAGAAGACGATGAGGGGAAGTCAGGACCTTGTTTGCATGGTGGAGTCTGCAGAAATTCTCGCTGCTCTTGTGCTGCTTCTTACCACGGTCATTTCTTATGCCATTACTTTCTTTGCTTTTATGGTTTCTAGGCATATAACTAGCTCTGATAGTTTTCCCGAGTGTCCTTTCCGAAAAATGTAGGTTCCAAATGGGTTGGATGGATGATGTGCGCGCTCAAGGAATTACTTAGTGTGGAAATTCTTAGGACTTTATGTAAGACCGCCTCGAGCTATAACTCCGAGAGGAGTCCTAGGAAACTGAAAAGAGAAAGCTCGTTGGTCATTACGGGCCGTGTTCTTGAGCTGTTTCACACCTTGATGAAATCGTCCGCAAAATGCTTAGGAGTAAAGTATACAGTGGTGTTCACTGCGGATGAAGGGGCGTGGCCAGGCAGGATGTGCTTGACGCGGCGACGTAATCGTTCTACACCAGTTGCTGGAGCGGCTAAGCGACAACGATCGGTGCAAAACAACTGATACGATCGATATGATACAGTCTTGACGCTTGTTTGCTCCAACAACTGGTGGAGCAGGGTTTGACGCCGCGCCAACCCCATCCCACCTCATACGCTTTTGATCCATAGCGAAGAATGTACTTGTATTTCCACAATCTGAGATTTGATTAGTAAAAATCCCATGACAAAATGTGGAAATTTTTCTGCGGAGCGAAAGTGAGGTTACCCATACAGTAATGACCCTTTCGAACAATAGGCAGCGTTCAGACTTCGCGACGGCAGCGCTTCGCGTTCGACGCGATCGATGCAGTCGAAAGCATGCGCATCGATCGCGTCGAACGCGCGACCGAAGCGCTGCCGTCGCGAAGTCTGAACGCTGCCTAACTGTACCTTAAGGATG